CCCGATCATTGGCAAAGTCTGACCAGGTCAGATTTCACTTAGGTAGAATTGTCTACATTGTTTTGTTGGCATCCATGTCACTCACATGAACCAGGGCACTCCAGGGTTTAAGGCTGGTCTATGAAGAACAAATGAGGCAAGCTGGGATCAGGGGCAACAGGCCAAGCCAGGCACTCAGACCCTCCAGCACTGTGTGTGTACTGGGCTGACACGGCAGAGCACCTGGCTGTTTTCTGGATCCTTTCTTCCAAACTTACTACATAAGATACCTCCTCGCTAGGTCATGTCTGTCCTGAAGTCTACCTTCATCTTAAAGAACAGAAAGTCTGGGAGGGAGTGGCGGCCGTCGCTCAGAAGCTCAACTGGAGTAAAACTCACAAATCTTGTTCTTGCGACAGCCCGGTGGGTAGAGGACAGTGGCATGCCCTCGAATGGCGCAATAACGCCACATCACAGTGTGGTAATTATACCATACCCTTCAAGATGTTCCACCTGCCAGGCTCGGTGCCAGACAGCTGGACACACAGCACTGCCCTAGCTTGCAGGTGGATATGCAGGACAGGCTTAGATACCTGGCCTGCCAGGGCTGCCCCACAAAGCCAAGCTGTAATTACCCCCATGGCGTACTGTCAGAGGTCTCGTAAAATACTGTCTTTCTTGTCTTGTTTCCCAAGTTCAAACTCCTCAGGAACTTTTTAAACACGCCAAATACTCACTGTTGCCCAAACAACTGGCAGCTACCTGCAGTGTCCACAATCAGGGACCTGCAGCAGACAAGACAAACAGACCTTGTAGCCAACTGAAACCACAGGCTGCTCACGGCACTGTGGGCAGGGAGAGAGCGCTAGGCCCGGGGCCCTTTCCACAGGCAAAGTCAAGCAGCCTGACGAGATACTAAAGCCACAGGCTGCTCACGGCACTGTGGGCAGGGAGAGAGCGCTAGGCCCGGGGCCCTTTCCACAGGCAAAGTCAAGCAGCCTGACGAGATACTAAAGCCACACAGGCGGCCTCTGTATGTCAGCCCACTGATCACATGCGCTGTGTTCAGACCTTGTCTACACTGTAGTCCAAGGGTTCAGAGAGGAAGGTCAGAGCTGAGCCTCCAAGGGAGGTGTAGATGTGAAAAGAGCTTCCCTTGGCAGGCAGAGGAAACACAGACAGGCCACATCAGCTCACGCCCAAGTAAGGAGCTGTGAGGGGAAGAGGTGAAGGCTGGATGCACCTGCTACAGGGCCTGCTGGGCCCCTCTCCTAACACACGGACACTGCCGTTTCATGGAAGGGACTCCAGCACTCCACGCTCCCACAGCTCTCCAGGAGTGCACTCACACAGAGGAACACAACCCCACCCCTAGGCAAGGGACCGTCAGCCACGCACCCTCCTCACTTGTCCTAGGAAAAACTTTACCTCTGAATGCAAATCCAAACTTACTGGAAGCAAAGTTCTAGGTTTCATTGTTTTGGCAACAATGTGCTGTTTCTGGAATATTTTACACCAGTAACTGCCAAAGAGTACAAAGTCCAGCAGTTATAAACTGACCAAACAGGACTGCTTCAAGCCTCTGCTCACAAATGTATTCACCTAGCTGCTGTATGGCTGTAGGTTGGTTTCTTCATCCTTGTAAACCTCTGGAGTAGGACGGAGAGCTCAACAGCTGGCATCATCATTTAAAAGCTTACACAAGCATCCATTTTATCCCATTCTCCACCACAGCAGCCGTTTTATAGACAAGTGAGCTACACCACCTAACACCTGCCTCACAGCAGCCGACTTCCTCGCTTTAATTGGCAATTGTGCAATTGGGAGAGGTCAATTTACCCCAAGTTACTAAAACTGCTGCATCCAGGACTCCCATTTTTATGACATTCCTTTCAAGCAATAAATCCCAGAGCAAAACTCTCACCTAGGGACCCTGGCACTGGAAGCACAGAGGGTGCCCGACCCAGACTGCCCAGAGTCTTGCAGCCAGAAACACACACGCCAAGAGCTCAGATCAAGGCGTCAGCTAGCCACAGCTGAATGAAGCAGCGTGGGCTGCTAAAGAACAGTTACTCCCAAGATTCATCTTTGGCAGCTGCATTCTGCATGTTTTCTAGACTTGAAGAAAGCTTGGGGGCTCCAGTGTGTGTCGGTGGCCACTGTGGCCTGCTAATTTCTTTAGTCCAAAAGCACCAGCAGCATTCAGCGGTGTTGCTGGGAAGCCCCATCATCTTCTTGCCTCCTGAGGGACTTTCTGAGCCTTTCAGTGTGTGTGGTTCGATTCTGCTTCCACCCTCGGTATCACCAGGACACAGCTCTGTCATCATTTTGATCAGAGTGCTTCCAGCTAGTGATGAAATCACCACTCTCAGATCTGTGCCATGACATACCCCCACAGCCATGGGAACCTGACTTGCAGAGGTTCTCACGCCTTCAGAACCAGGAGTCTAAGGAGCATGCCCGCACAAGCCCAACTGACTTACCCAGCCACCCTCATAGGCTAGAACCAGGCACAGGTCCTCTAGCTCCTGACAGGCGGAGAGACTGCACACTCACCACCCAGGGCAGATACGCCCCTCGGCACAGGCTGAGCCTGCACAGAATTACCTCACGTCTTTTGTTTTAGGAAGAAAGGAAAAGAGAGTCATAAAGCTATGATCACACGTTTACTTTGCCCCCCTTGGACGGGGTACCTTGCAGCTTCCATAGCAGGACGCAGCAGAGTTGGGCAGACCCCCACCCCCACCCCCACCGAAAGCTCAGGCCCGGCCTCTCCCACCATGGGGCAACTGAAACTGGTTTTTGTTTGGTTTTTTTTTTTCGTGTGTGTGTGTGTGCGCGTGCACGCGCGCGCGCGCGCATGTGGCGGGGGGGGGGGGGGCCTTGAACTCAGGGCCTGGGTGCTGTCCCTGAATTGTTGAATTTGTTTTGTTTTGTTTTTTGCTCAGCTCCACTTCCAGTGTTTTACTTCTCATCCAAAATCCCTGCTTCACTCTGACTGCTCTGCTGAGCCTCTCAGCGGATAGCTTTAGGGTTCAGTTCTTGAACCCTCTGCTCTACTAGCTTAGGGAAGGCACCGTAGTTCCTCTGGGTTCCTTGTTGTTTGGAACAGGGCCCTTCGATGCAGCCTTGAACTCTCGATTACCCCTCAGCCTCCCAAGTGCTTGCTGGGATGGCAGTGTGCATGGTTGTCTGTCTGGAGTTGGTCTGGCAGTCCTGAGGAACAGTGCCTGGGTCACGCCTCCAGCCCCTCTGTGCCCCCACTGTTTTCAAGGCTGGCCCTGAGCCGTTTCTCTCCTACTTGGGCTTCCCTGTGCTGCTAGGGATAGCAACATGCCACTGTGCCCAACCACTGGCTGAGATGGGGTCTCAAACCTTCATGCCCAGGCTAGCCTCAAATCACAATCCCTGAACCTCCACCGCCCAAGCAGCTAAGATCACAGGCTTGAGCCACTGCCCAGCTCATGTTTTCAAGAAACAACCAATCAGGAGAGAAACCAAATCTAATCAATTTTCTAAGAACTGGAGGCCCTGTTCCTTCAGCTGGCATGCCCTGCGCCCACTGCTGTGGTACCTGAGACTCCCAAGCCATTTCTGTTCCTAAAGGACTGGTTTCCAGGTAGACATCTGACACCCCAAGTAAAGTGCTGCTTTACACTACATCTCGCATGCTCAGTTTTACAGCTGCAAACACTTTTCCTAAATCATTTCCACTGACCTTTGACTGTTAAAAAGCGGTTAATTTTTTTTAAGTATTTGCAACACAAACCAAGATGTCTGGCCTGGATTCCTCACCGGTGGGCCAGGCCCCACCCACTCCGTCACTGTGGGCTTCTAGCCAGTAGCTGCTGTCCGTGCTGGTTAGGAGGCACTGTGAGAGGAGGCTGGCAGCCTCTAAGGGACACTTGGGGTTGGGGAGAAAACGTGAGCGCTCCTCTACCCAGGCATTATTCCCTCTGGCCCCCAGAGCACAGAGGCTACGAAGGCTTAACTTGGCTGTCTAGGGGCATATGCAGGAAAGGGCAGGGCAGGCCTGTGGGCTTATCCCAACTCACAGATGAGACGGGTGGCGGACAAGAAAGAAAGTCGCCCAGGGACTGTGGGCTGATCCTGCAGCACTGCAAACTGTGTTAAGTCATCTGAACACAGCGTTTTTATTTAAATTGAGCCAACATAAATACTCCTTACTAGGCCTAGGGGAGTGGCTCGGTGGTAGAGAACTTGCCTAGCATGCATAAAACCCGAGGTTGCATCCCCAACACAAAATGGCAAACAAGAAATAAAAAAAGCAACTTAGTGATAAAAGTTAGCTTTTTATTTTTGGTTTAGAAAGTGGTAGGATACAGTCCCACATCTAAACATTCCTGATTTTTAAATATCACATAAGAATATACCAGCAACAAGGTTAAGCAAGGCAGGGCTGCCACACACACACACTTTATAAGGGTGAAACCTCGCAACTCCTATGAAGGTCCCCCAGAGAAGTTAGCTGATGGCCCCAAGACAGGACCCTGTCCAGAAACTCCATAGAAACAGATACAGAGGGAGCTGGGAAGGTGGCTCAGTGGTAGAGTGCTTGCTTTGCATGCATGAGGCCCACCCTGGGTTCGATTCCTCAGCACCACATAAGCAGAAAAAGTCTGAAGTGGGCGCTGTGGCTCAAGTCTAGTCTTGAGCTGAAGAGCTGAGGGACAGCGCCCAGGCCTGGAGTTCAAACCCATGATTGACAAAAAAGAAAAAGAAAAAAGAAACAGATACAGGGAAGGTCCAGATTCGGGCCCCCAAAACTTGAAGAATTTCAGATATTCTCAGAATTGACACTAAACTTTCATACATCACTACGCCCTTAGCCCCAGGCAATTCTTGAGAAAGCAGAAAGCCTTTCAGGATGTTGGCAGCTGGTAGAGCAAACCAGAGAGGATGCAGCATCACTGCTCTGATGCCCTACCACAACCCTCCAACCCACTCGCCTAACACCCCTCTCCCCCTGTCCACCTTTGCAGCTCCGGGCAGCACAAGAGGGGCCCTCCTCAGACTCAGCACATGAAGCTGGCTTCAAAGAAAAGGACTCAGAAACAGAGGGAAGACACAGTGAACTTCCTTAGAAGTCGCCACATCTTGTTGAAGAGCCAGCAGTCACCACCCTAGTGAACAGACCAGAGTCCAAACACAGAGGACAATGAGTCTCCTGAAGGAACGAAAACCAAAAAAGCCACACTACATCCCTCGACCCCCAGGAAAACCTTTCAAGTACAAATGTTTCCAGTGTCCCTTCACATGCAATGAGAAGTCACACCTCTTCAATCACATGAAGTATGGTCTCTGTAAGAACTCCATCACTTTAGTGTCAGAGCAAGATCGTGTGCCCAAGTGCCCCAAGTCTAACTCGCTGGACCCTAAGCAGACCCACCAGCCAGAGCCCACCACAAAGCTGGCCTCTAGCAAGTCCCTCACACACGGACTCTCCAGCTTTGAGCCAAAGCCCCCACAGGGCTTCAGCAAGGAAGACACCAAGGAGAACCTGGAACTTGGGGCTCGGGGAGCCCACAAGTGTCTGCAGAAGGACAAGGCTCCTGACACTGTGCTCAGCACCCAGCCCAGCCTGGACAGTGGGGCTCGGCCTTCAGCGTTTGTTCCAGTTGGAGAACACAGACTTAGGGGGCCAGAAGACACAGAGGCTCCTGAAGTGCTGGCACTAACCAACCCTACCACCAAAGCCAGCTCTTTCCACACCAAGTCTGCGTTTCACACGCCTAGCTACCCCTGGAAAGCTGGTTCCCCCTTCCTCCCACCTGAGTTCCCACATAAAATCCCATCTACAAAGGGGTTCAGTGCCATCCCCCCCTATGTGCACCCAGCCATCCCAGAATACCCCCCTCCCTTCTACACAGAGCACGGGCTGGCTGCCATCTACTCCCCCTACCTGCTAGCTGGGAACACACCTGAGTGTGACACCGCCCTGCTTCCTGTCTACGGGCCCCATGACCAGAGACACTTCCTGCCTCACCCAGGGCCCATCCCCAAACACTTGAATCCCCCTCCATCAACCTATGAGCACTACAGACTGCTTCAGCAGTACCACTCCAACCTACCAATTCCTTACGGATTTTATAGGCCAGAGTCTGCATTCTCCTCCTATGGTCTCAGGCTCCCACCTGTCACTGGCATCGCACGAGATCAGAGCGCTCGTCTGTTTGAAGAAGCTACACTGGCCTACCCATCTTCAAGTCCTTCTGAGTTAAACCTTTCAAATCCACACAAAAAGCCCACAGACTTTGAGAAGGAAAGTTCCACTTCCAAGGCAAAAGACACTTCCAAAGATGGGCAGAGGGACACGGAAGGGGCCAAAATGAGCCCCCGTGCAGGTAGTGCAGCCACGGGTTCCCCAGGAAGGCCAAGCCCCACCAACTTCACACAGACAAGTCAGATGTGCGAAGGGCTGTGTGACCTCTCAACCAAAGCTCCCCCCACAGGGACCCTGGGGGGACTTCCACAGCCAGAGCAATGCCCCACAGCCTTCAAACCTATCCTGAAGAGTGAAGAACACCCTCCTTCCCGGCCTCCCACAAATAAGGCAGAGTCTCCACAAAGGTAAGAGTGGGTCATTTTCTAAACCTCTGCTGTATTGTTTTAGGCTTGGGGCATCTAGCCACGTTCACACTTACTCAGAGTGCTTTATGTGGCTGCTTCCCAAGTCCTCACTAAAGCTTTTTCTGACTTCTTCCAGCCTCCTCCAAGCCACGGACAGAGACTCTCCCCATGCAGAGGCCCCGCCCAGCAGCCCAGAGGATGGTTCCAGGATAAGCCCCCTCAACCTCTCCAAAAAGTCAGAGGCAACAACACCTATAGCCTCTCATGGACCCATGTACACAGGCAGTGCCCAGGTAGACAACCTGGGCTTCCCAGAACTGCAGGACCTGCCCCTCAATCTCTCCGTGAAGGACCCCTGCAACACGTGGGCTCCGAGGCCCGCCCTCTGCAGCCCACTGCAAGGGACAGCAGCTGCTGCCACTGCCGCTCTTCCAAAGCCTGGGGAAGAGCCGAGCCAGGCAGAGGCCCGGCAGGAGGAGGCCCCCAGCGAGATGACCCCGGGTGCACCTGTAGTAGACAGCAGTGAGGAGCAGAAGCAAACTGCAGCCGTGGCCCTCTGTCAACTGGCGGCCTACAGCCCAGGGAATATCGGGGTGGGCTGTGGGGAGGCCACAGCCCAGGAATCTGCCTGCCAAGACATGCCCACTCTGAGTTCCACAGAGAGCCAGGGGACTCAGTGTGAGCCCAAGCCCAAAGGTCAAAAGAGGACAAGTCTAAGGGATACAGGAAAAGCCCAGGCAGGAGCTAAGAAGCCCAAGCCAAATGACGCAGCCCCAAGAGTGCTCACTCTGCGCAGAAGGACCCGGGTGTCCTGAGGCTGCCCACAAACACCCTCACCCCGGGGCTCAAGCAGCACCCTCTCCTTTTATTTTTGTCAGACAGGGTCTTGCTGTGCTGCCCAACCTGGCCCCAAACTCAAAAGCACTAGAAGAGGTATGTGCCTAACTGAACCTTCGCTTTTCACCCAATTCTTACAAGTGCAGTTAGGAAGGAAGGAAGAAGGAAGGAGAGAGGGAGGGAGAAGGGAAGGTGGACGGGAGGGAGGGAGGGAGGAAAAGGACAGGGTGGGCAAAAGAAAAAGCGTAATCGAGTAATTCAATTCCATTTTTGTAAATGTTAAACATGAATGTTAAAAGGTGTTTTCCAGTTGTAAAAGCATAAGAATGGCTCACAATAGATAAGTGAAAAGCCTGGCTTCCATATTTGTGAAATGTACAAAACTAGCAGGCGGCTCTGCACTGCAAGCTACCTTACAGGAGGGTCTTTTAAATACTTTTCTCATGAATACTTTAACTGTATAACAAACCATTTTAACTGTGTTAACTGTTTTTCTATTAAGTCTAGCTACACGTTTTGAAATAAATAACAATTACTGGGGAAATACCAGAAACATCACTTTCAACATTATGAAGTATTGTGATTGTTCTGACTAAACAAGCATCAGTAGACTGCTTATAGAAGTAATTTATTTCCACCAAGGAAAAAATGTGGTAAAGGTATGAGCAACTTACTCCATTTGCTTATGATGTCACAGTGAATTTTTTGATTCACCTGGCCTCATCCCTACAATGATGTACATGTTGCTAATTTTCCAATAAACTCATGTGAATTTTAATGACACACAAGATGAAGACAAATATAAATTTGCGGGATCCTTTAGAGTATTTTGCCATAAAACTCACTGAAAAACAGTGAACTGCTAAGACAGCAGCAATTAAACTAAGAAAGTACATATGTATGTAAGTTTCTATCTGTGAGTGTGAAGAATCAAGAACAGGTGCATACAAACCTTTGCCCCCAGGGTCCCTCAAAGACCATTCAGGGGTCCTGAGCCTTGGAGGTTTCAGAGAAAAGTCTCAGGAACCCTGCCCTGCTAGATCTCAGGAGCGGGGATACTCTCTCCATTCTCATCTCCTACAGTTCATGGCCAGTCACCCGAGACCCTACATTACAACCAAGTTGTAGGCACTGCGCAGGGGAATTCTGTGGTGATTACATGATAAATCTTGTCCTGCAAGCAGCTCTCAGTTCCTCAGTAGCTGCAATACAGAGGAGGTCCCAACGAAGTTGTCTGCTAACAGCAGATGACAATCTGGAGTAAACATGCAAAAGCTCCTGCAATGACCATTGCTAAAACAAAACTGCTGCCATCCCCAGTTGCTTATTTAATATGAACAGGCATCTTACCACTAAGAGCTGAAGATGAAAATGAAAGAAAGTAGGGTTGATACAAACCTGGCCTTTGCAAGTAAAAGCAGCACTCACCAGCGTGTTCCCAGTAAAACCAGTCTTGTTGAGCAATTCATTTTTCAAATTCTATCTAGGCAAACTTAAGTAGGCTGCACCTTGTTGCTATGGGATTTGAGAAGTGAAGTCTCCACTCTCAAACACTGCTTTGTGAAGATACACAACAGGAGATAGTTAAGAGATCCCTACACACAGAGTAGGTCACGCCCAGACAAAATTCTCTGGGAAATGTAGCAAAAAGATGGATTCAGGAAGAACAAAGGTCAAACTGCTGTGGGGGGGGAAATGTCTATGACCGTAGTGAACAAGGACCCTGTGATCCCTGTGTCCCCTGACCACTACAAAAAGGCAGCCGCAGAGTTCTAATCCTAGAGTTGTAACAGAGACAGCACAACACACTTTGAAACTGGTAGAATTTACTTAAAATTTCAAATGCCAGGGCTGGGAAGGTAGCTCAGTGGTAGAGCGCTTGCCTTGCATGCATGAGGCCCTGGGTTCGATTCCTCAGCACCACATAAGAAAAAAACAGAAGGGGCACTGTGGCTCAAGTGGTAGAGCAATAGCTTTAAGCTGAAGAGCTTAGGGACAGCGCCCAGGCCCAGAGTACAGACCCCACGACTGGAAAAAAAAAAAATTCAAATGAGGGATGTAGTGCTTGTCACAACTCTTTTAAGGGACACCTGAAATGCCACTGCTGCAAACTACACCCAAAGATGAGTCTTGGAGAACCAGGCAGTCTCTGGTGCCTTTCAAACCACCGCTTACCACTCACCCAAACTTCACAAGTCCATGATGCAAATCTCAACAAGTACACAATAGTCGCTGACCTGCCTTGAATTTTTTATAAGCACCAATGCTTTTATATGCACCAATATGTGATACCACATTCTTCCCACACACACAGACACTTCCTAATAATAAGTACCTAGAAAGTAGAACAAGGGGCTGGAAGGTGGCTCAGTGGTAGAGCGCTTGCCTTGCATGCATAAGGCCCTAGGTTCGATTCCTCAGCACCACATAAGCAAAAAGAAAAAAAAAGCCGGAAGTGGCGCTGTGGCTCAAGTGGTAGAGTGCTAGTCTTGAGCTGAAGAGCTGAGGGACAGCGCCCAGGCCCAGAGTTCAGGCCCCATGACCAGACCCAAAAAAAAAAAAAAATTAAAATACTTTCAAATGAACTATGGGAAAAAAGGGGGAGGAAAAGGCTGGGGTATATGTAGCTCAAAGGGCAGTGTACTTCCTAGTAAACACAAGGCACTGGGCTTACTCTCCAGTACAAGGGAGGAAGAATCCTCTAAAATAAGATTTTGAGACCAGACTTGCTCAGGCACAAGAAATAATCAGTGAAGCCGGGCACCAGTGGCTAACACCTGTAATCTTAGCTACTCAGAGGAGCCTGAGATCTGAGGATCATGGTTCAAAGCCAGCCTGGGCAGAAAGTCCGTGAAACTATTATCTCCAATGAGCCACCAGAAACCCGGTGGCTCTGACGGGAGAACACCGCTCACCTTGAGCTGAAGGGCTCAGCAACAGCACCCAGGCCCACAGGAAAGAAAGAATCAGGGAGCTGAAGGACAGAATAATCGAAACCACTCTATCTGAGAAGCAGGGGAGAGGATAAATAAATGAACCAGAACCACAGCTCAAATGGTAGAGCACCATGAGCAAAAAAGCCAAGAGCAGAAAGCCCTGAGTTCAAGCCTCAGTACAGGCACAAAAGACCGGGGGAGGGGGCTGAGAGTGGGTGAGGGAGGGGAGGGGAGTGTTGGGTTCAACCTAAGAGACCTGAGAGATACAACCAAGTAACCAACATACCTACAATGGCATCTCAGAGCAAGAGAAGGGTAAGATGCAGGGGAAACGCCTTCAGAAGTTAATAGCGGTATACACCTCAAATTGGATGAAAGATATGAATCTACACACCCAAGATGCTCAAAACAACACTGATTACTAGTTTTTATTCAAACCAATGTGCAAAATTCTCCATTAAATAAGAATTGCGAGGAAGAAAATAAGAGCCACACTAAATATCCAAATAGATCAGAATGCTTGACTTCAAAAAGCCAAACACTTGCTGGGCACCAGCAGCTCACACCTGTCATCCTAGCTACTCAGGAGGCTGAGATCTGAGGATCACAGTTCAAAGCCAGCCCTGGCAAGAAAACCCAGGACACTCTTATCTCCAATTAACCACCAAAAGAAGTGAAGCTGTGGCTCAAGTGGTAACACACTATCCTTGAGAACAAAACCTCAAGGACCTTGCCTATCAAGGCCCATAACCAGCACCAAAACAAAAACCTCAAAACACTGGAAAAAATACAGAAAATGCAAAACTAGGCACACACATTCTGTCATAATGGAAGCAGTAATGAAATACAGTACACCTATTCTTGAATTTAACAGAGGAAATCCTGATGGCCTGCTACCCTACATAAGCCCCTTCAAACCCAGCAGGAGCCCTCCATGACTCACATTCACACTGAAGAAGGATCAAAAACTCTGAAAAAGCTAAAAGGATCAAAAGCAGGACTCATGAAGATAAGCCCTGGCATCTGAGACACCTGAAGTACCGAAGACCAAGTGGTCTTCAATGAGGTCCTCCAGGAAACAGAGAACACAGACACTTGTTCATTGAAGTAAAGGTCAAGAAATAGGCTTACAACACATGCGGGGATGTGGAGAGAGAGAGAGAGAGCAAGAGCGCGTGCGTGCGTGCGTGCGTGTATACATGCATGTATGCAAGAAGAGGAACTGCAGAACTCCCTAGAAAGACATCCAAAGAAAGCGCCCCCTTCAGAACCTTTGCCCCGTGGCAAAGCTGGTCTCCTCAAGGCAGCTGCCTTGAAGGTAGATCGAGTAGGAACCTTTGCCTTCCAATCTAACTTCCCCAGGGCCACTTCTTCCTTTTCAGCATGCAACCATGAAGGTTTCCCTGTCCTCTACAACACAAACACAACTTCTATGTAACAACATGCTCATCTGAATCCTGTCCCCTAGACAATGTCTTTCCAAAGTGTCTGCTTTTGCTTCTCAAACTAAATAGAATGCCATACAGGGGACACAACAGCTCAGAGGAGACCACAAAATAGCAGGACTGCTGAACCATGTGCCTTCAACTACAGTTTTATAAAGATAAGACTTCTCTCAGAGGAATGGTGTAAGATCTAAAATAAACACATGCCCAGGTATGATAGTCCACACCTGTAATCTGGCTAACTAGAGGTAGAAGTTCAAAATTTAAAATTAAATTTAAGGGCTGGGAAGGTGGCTCAGTGGTAGAGCGCTTGCCTTGCATGCATGAGGCCATGGGTTCGATTCCTCAGCACCACATAAGCAAAAAAGAAAAATTTCGGAAGTGGTGCTGTGGTTCAAGTGGTAGAGCGCTGACCTTGAACTGAAGAGCTGAGGGACAGCGCCCAGGCCCAGAGTTCAGGCCCCACAACCGGACCAAAAAAAACCAAACAATAAAATTAAATTTAAGGGCTGGGAAGGTAGAGTGTTTACCTTTTATGCATGAGGCCCTGGGATCCATTCCTCAGCACCACATAAGCAAAAAGGCTGGAAGTGGTGCTGTGGCTCAAGTGGTGGTGCTAGCCTTGAGCTGAAGAGCTGAGGGACAGCGCCCAGGCCCAGAAGTCAGGCCCCAGGACCAACATAAATAAATAAATAAATTTAAACATTTTTAAGTGAAAACATAAAAAGCATGCTGCACAGATGCTCAGTAAGCGTTCAGACCTAGCATCGCCGTGCCTGCCCTGTGCCTGCCGGACCTCTGCTTATACAACTCTTCACAAAACAGGCCCTACCAGCCACAGGAAAAGCCTACAGCAACTTTCAGTTCCCAAGAAAGGTACTACCAGGCAGAAGGCCGACTATGAGCATGAGCAGTTCATTGACTCTACATTGTGTTTCAAAGCTGCAACAACAGCGGGACACTTTACGGTACCCATACCTTACCCTTACTCTAGGGGGCAGGGGATCAGTTCAACGTGTGACGTCCTGTGACACAAACGGGTGCCAAGGAAGAAGGGACGGGAAGAGCAACGATGGAGTCCGAGACCCTGCTCCACCAAGTCTCAGGCATCCAGTGCTCAACAGTGGGACTCATCTCTACAGAGGCACCTGGGGACCCGCTGACTCTTGAAGAGGGCCAAACTGCAACATCCACCTCTGTATTCGATAGTGAGTCACCACCACCCCGTTCCCAGGGCACTGGGCCAACCCTTCCTTACAAGACAGTTTGACCTCTGCTGTACCGATCACAATTCCTCACAAATTCAAGGTAAGAAGAAAGGTGATAAACAATCCATTCAGTCTAGGCTACAGAGACAGTTGCCACCTACTAATACCTGGGAGCACAAGCTCAAGCTGTTCCTCAGTCAGCAGGGACACAAACCAGACCACAGTGAGATGACATTCCATACTCATAGGGTGGCTTTTTTTTTTCTGGTCATAGGGCTTGGGCACTGCCCCTCAGCTCTTCAGCTCTTCACTTGAGCCACAGCGCCACTTCCGGTTTTCTAGTGGTTTACTGGAGATAAGAATCTCATGGAGTTTCCTGCCTGGGTTCGCTTTGAACCACAATCCTCAGATCTCAGCCTCTTGTGTAACATTGCTATTTTTTTTTTTTGGTCGGTCGTGGGACTTGAACTCTGGGCTTGGGCACTGTCCTTGTGCTCTTCAGCTCAAGGTGAGCACTCTACCACTTATGCCACAGAGCCACTTCCTGTTTTCTAGTGGTTTATTGGAGATAAGAGTTTCACGGACTTTCCTGCCCAGGCTGGCTTTGAACTGTGATCCTCAGATCTCAGCCTCCTGAGTAGCTAAGATTACAGGTGTGAGCCACCAGCACCCGGCTACATTGCTATTATTTTTAAATAAAGAGAAACAAAAAGAAATGGCGGTGAGGTTGTAGAGAAACTGGAATCCTGTATACAGATGATAAGAATATAAAATGGTACAGCCATTAGAAAAGTTTGGCAGTATCTTAAACTGACTCAGTAGTCTCTCCTACAAAACCTTGTACACAAATGCTCACAGGAGTATTATTCACTACAGCCAAAAGGCGAGAACAACTTAAATGTCTGCCAGATGATGAAGAATAAAATGTGGTAACTGAATACAACAGAATACTATTCAGCTGTAAGAAGATCTGGCCTGCTACACAGTGGATGAACATCAAAAACAACGCCCTGAGTGAAGGAATTTAGACATAAAAGAGCACATATTACAGAGTGCTTATGTGAAATGTCCAGAAAAGGCAAAACAGAGCAGTAGAGAGAGGATCCATTTTGCCCAGGAGTTGGGGAGTTAGGGTGAGTGTCTGCACGCAGGACCAGGGTTTCTACCTGGAGCTATGAAAACGGTAAGTTAAGTTACAGTGCCATTACACAACCCTGAGTGTACTAAAGACCACCTAACTGCACACCTTTCGTGAGTAATAGTTATCTAGAGAGTAGAAATCAGCTCTCAAGGTAAGAAAACCAGACAACACAGCAGCCCATAGCCCTCCAGACCCAGAATGCAGGGTATCTGCTTAGGGAAGTTCCACAGCTTATTCAAGAGGTCATCAGGAAATTATCAAGCCTGGTATGAGGAAGGAGTCTGGAAGGTGCATTGAATGCACTTTGCTACACTAACACTGGGTCTATAACTGGCCATGCCAGGGATACAGCTCAGCAGAGGAACGCCATCATACCACAAAAGGCCCAAGGACAGATTTACGTGTTTCAATTACTTACCCTCTGAGAGTCGCAATGGGAGTAACAGGCCTCGTCTACCAAGTTCAGCAAGTGCCAGACATCCACCATGCCATGCCTTGTCCATCTCCTGAAAACTGAGTTCAGAGTTCTATGGTCAGCTCTCAGTTCAAAGCCCACAGTTGCGCACATAACATAGGCTACCCATGATGCTCTTTTTGAAATAAGACATAGCATGAAGATAAATGTCACACCCAGTACACCTCTCTTCAGAGCTCTCAAAAACAAATCAAAGTCCTTGGTCAGCCCAAGTTCCAACTCAGAGCATCACCACTGTACCATATGGACCAGTGGCAACACCAAATAAACACCAGGCTCAGAGGGTCTTCCCAAGCCAGCCGTGAGGCTCCAGGTACTCTGCATACCCAACCTCAGCCGGGGATCCCAGACAATTCAGATGTCATTGATTAAACACAATGATTCCCAGTGTTTACTCATGTGACCAAATTCAAGATTTAAACATCAGTAGACAAATCTGAGGATTATGGTTCAAAGCCAACCAGAGCAGGAAAGTCTGTGAGACTCTGAGCTCCAATTAGCCACCAAAAAGTCAGAAGTGGAGTGGTGGCTCAAGTGGTAGAGCACCAGACTTGAGCAAAAAAGCTAAAGGTCAGCACCAAGACCTGAGTTCAGTACTGGCACACAAAAAAATTGTATTTTTTAATTAGAATAAAATGGCATTTAGAGATTTTACTCTTGCAGTAATGGGGACTGGGACATGGATGTTTCCCTTTTGAGCTACGTCTTGCTGTTACCTGGCTGGCCTAGAGCTTCTGTCTCAGCCTCCCAAGTAGCTGGGCCCACGGCGGACCACATGGCCACCTGAGATAAGGCCTTGCTCTTAGAATCCACAAACTGTATAGACCACGGTAATGACGATGTGCCTTGTGAAGGTTAAAATGTGTTTGTGACTTTAACTAAGTATCACTATTCCACAATACTGTGAAATATGTGACATTTATGTAATCATCTAATCTCAATTTTTTTATAAAAGTGAGGGAAGGGGTGGGTGAGGAACGATGGGTGACAGCATTGTCTGACACCTTGTATTCATATGCTGTTTTATACAACTACTTAAAGATAACAATAAAATGTAAAAAAAAAAAA